CGCAACCGAGGGGCGAACCAAGCGCCCCTGGCTCATTGATGGCCGCGGCAAACGAGCCTGGCACAAGACGCCGTGCGAGACGCGGGCGCAGGAGGGCGAAGAAGGCGCCCCCCACCGCCATTGCCGCCCCTGCCCCCGCCCCCGCCCCCACTGCCAACCCCGCCGTCGCCCGCGCACCTGCCAAAGCGGGAGCGCCCGCTGCCCCTGCGACCAAAGCGCATGCCACCGCCGCAACCAAGGCGAAACGACCGCCAACGGCGCCAAAGTCACCACCAACGCTGCTCACAACAATGACCATCAACGCCGTTGTGCGCATCCTGCAGGGGATCGTGACGGCGCTTATCCAGGAACAGAGCGATCCAGTGCCGCTGCTCCTAGACGCGATCAAGTCCCTGATCTGCGATGGACCACCGGCACCTTAGGATCATCTATTGGAACGCCAACGGGATGTCCCCCGAGAAGACCAGGCTATTGAAGCTGCTGCTAGACCAGCGGCAAGCTGATATAGCCCTGATCAACGAGACCCACCTTAGACCGGTAGACAAACTGAAGATGGCTGGCTTCCACATCTACCGGGAGGATCACATCTCGCCATCAGGGATTGCCTACAGGGGACTGGCAATCCTGGTCAGGAGAAAAGTCGTCCACCAGCTGCTGCCGGTGCCAACGCTGCGAGCGTCCTACGCACTGGGCGTGGAGATCTGCATCAACCACCAGCCGACCCGGGTGTTCGCGTTCTACAGACCGCCGCACTACCGCCTCGCAGTGGCTGACGTCCACACCCTGCTGGACTCGCCACTGCCAACCATCATCGCCGGTGATTTCAATCTGAAGCACACGGCGTGGAACGCGAACGCCAACACACGAGAAGGCAGCCGCCTGCTCGACGATGCAGAGCTCCATAACTACGTCGTGCTCGGGCCGGAAGCCCCGACACACTACCCGCACGACCGGCAGCGCACGCCCGACGTCATCGACCTGACCGTCCTACGCGGCATCACCGCGAAGGCCAGCTGTGACGTCTTGGACGATCATCTCCGGTCAGACCACCAGCCAGTGAGTCTGATTATCGAGGACATCCCACAACACCTGCGACCTCTTCCCCCTCGCCCACGGCGGGACTGGCGCGCCTTCGCCGCACACATGGCACGGAACGCGCCGTCATACCGGATCGACACGCCCGCCGACGTCGACCGACTCACCGCCGACTTCGCCGCGGCCACCCAGACCGCACTAGCCGAGTCCCAGATGGCAAACGTGTCGACACCGAGGAGACCATCACCCCTCCCAGCCGCCATACTCGCCATGGTCGAGAGGAAGAGGAGACTCCGCAGGCAATGGCAGAGGACCCGATGCCCGACTATGAAGAGCTCGCTCAACGCTCTGGCCGCCAGAATCTCGTCCGCCGTGGCAAATCACGCGGCCGAATCCTGGCAACGCGCCATCGAGCACGTGAGCGACGACTGGTCGGGCATACACAGATTGTGCCGCAGTCTCTCCGGGAAGCCAGCTCCGATTAGACCCCTCCTGGCCGGCGACGGTACACCCCGCTACCGAGCCGAGGATCGAGCGGAGCTCTTCGCTGACTCCCTGGAGAGCCAGTTCCAGCCCAACCCAGCCCGCAACGTGCAACACACAGCAGCCATCGAGCTTCAGGTAGCACAGTACCTGGAGCAACCGATCTCCCCCGAAGAGGACCCAGTTGTGCTCTCCCCTGGCATGGTGCGGCGTATGGCTCTGCGAGCCCCACTACGCAAGGCACCCGGCCCGGACGGAGTGCCTAACGAGGCCCTCCGCCGCCTGCCGCCACGAGGAATCGCGACGTTGACGCGCCTGTTCAACGGCATCCTCCGCACCGGACACTTCCCTGCCAAGTGGAAGCTCGGCAGAGTAATCATGCTGCCCAAACAGGGGAAAAACACACTGCTGCCGGGGAGCTATCGCCCCATCACGCTCCTGGACACTGTCTCGAAGCTTTTCGAGAAGCTGCTGCTGTTGCACTTGCGCCCACACCTCCAGCCACGCGACGAACAGTTCGGCTTCAGGGCGGAACACTCCACCACCCTGCAAGTCGCGAGGGTACTGCACGACCTGGCGGCCGCGCGCAACAAGCGCGAGCGCGCCGCGGCAGTATTCCTCGACATGGAGAAGGCGTTCGACCGCGTCTGGCATGCCGGCCTGCTCAGCAAGCTGGCCACATCTACTACTCCTCGACGACTAGTTAAGATCGTGGCCACCTTCCTGCACGACAGAACCTTCCAAGTGGCAGTGGAAGGCACTCTGTCGACCGAGCGGAACATCCGTGCCGGCGTGCCCCAGGGAAGCTGCATCTCACCCGTGTGCTACTGCGTGTACACGGACGACATCCCCGTCGTGAACGGCGTCAAACTAGCGCTGTACGCCGACGACGCCGCCTACTACACGACGTCGCTGAACCCGAGGCACGCAGTAGTCAAACTACAGCGCGCCCTAGATGCACTCCCTGAATGGCTGGAGAAGTGGAGACTGGCTGTGAACGTGGCCAAGACCCAGGCGCTCGCCGTGGGGATCATGAAGCCGACACCCATGACGCTCATGGGAGAGCAGGTCCGGTGGGCGCCGAGCGTTAAATACCTCGGCGTGACCATCGACCGCTCGCTCTCAATGACGCCCCACGTGCAGCAGGCCACCGCTCAGGCGCGCGCCGCGCGTCACCTCCTGCGCCCGGTGATCGACTCGGCGCTACCTCTCCGTGCGAAGCTCGGCATCTACAAGGCCTACATTCGGACACGGCTCACCTACGCCGCCCCGGCATGGTATGCGCTCGTGTCCGAAACCAACAAGAAACGCCTCCGTGCGCAGCAGTCACTGTCGCTGCGCACCATCGTACAGGCCCCGCGCTTCGTACGGAACGCGACAATCGCCCGAGACCTCGGCGTAGAGAGCGTCGACGCATTCGTGCAGCGCCTGAGCACCACACTTTTTGAGCGCTCCGATCGGTCGCGGCACGACCATCTCAGAGGACTGGCGCCCTACCACCGGCGCCCCCCTGACGGCCTCGGCCTCCCACGAGACCTGGTCGCACCGACCGGCCCATCGGACGCCGCGTGAGACTCCCGCCCGCCCCGCAGGCGGATCGGTGGAGTCTCCGCCACCACCGGACACGACCGCGCGCCGCTACTAGCCCGCCGCTCGCCGGGCTCCCCCTGGCTCGAGCACGGCCCATAGCGGCGCCCCCACTGGACACGACCTATGCCCCGCCAACAGCTTGCTGCTCGCTGGGCTTGCCCGGCTAGAGCGCGGCCAACGGCGGGGCATACCACCGGACTCGACACCACATCGGGCCCCGCAAGGTGCCCGACTAATCCAACCCCTCGCCTGCTGTAGCAGGCAGCGAATGAGACCGCCGAGACAGGCATCGGCCTGGATCGCGCGACCTCGCGCCCCCAGCCGGGGACGCAGAGATGACCCGAAGACGAGCGCGCGCATTTTTCCGAGAGCCGGCGTTGAGTGAAGACTGAAGACTACCTACAGATGAATGAAGAATGAAGATGAATGCAAGTACTCCGGCCTCCGGCTCCGGCTCCGCTTGCGCTGCTTGGCTGCTTGCTTTACCAAACCGCTTCTTTCGAAGCGATCGCTCGCGGCATGGTGTGATAACGCTGTTGCCGCAGTGATGATTATCGTTTCTATGCAGGAAAGTCGAAAACTGTCTTTTTCAAGACAATTGGTTTCTGGTTTCTTAAAACGGAGTCAAAACGTAAACTGTCTTTTTCAAGACAATTGGTTTCTTGTTTCTTTAAACGAAGTGAGTCTATAACTTTGGTAAAGGTATTGTGGAAGGTATCTGGTATATGGAAAGGTATTCGGTGGTACTGGTAACTGGTAGGTATGTAGTCGTGCGGTGCGGCTACATGAGCACCATGTTAGACTACAATTTTTTTTTTAGTAAAGTTTGTGTTTTTATTTTAGTGGTGTCTTTGCATTGTCCTCACATATACGCACAGTATTGGAATATAATATGTATCAGAGACATTGTAGAACATACTTTTTTAAAAAGAGGAACGACTGGAGTTTCTTGCTTGTTCTTCTCCATTCGAATCTACATTTTGGAATGAGCACCTAGCTTCACCTAGATTCACTGACGGACTGACAGACAGACTATTATTTATTTTAATTGAAATAAATGCTTTGACTTTGACTTTTTGAAATTTGCAAATATAGCTTTAAATACGATTGACAATAACATAATTTTTTGAGTCCTGTGTTCTTGCATTCCGTCACAATATATATTTTTTCTTTACACAGTGTATAATTATGTCACAGTGCATGTGAGCTCGTTATTCTACTTTTAAAAATTTTATCTGGTTTGTACTACGACCTGTGGCGTCCTCATTGATTTTCATAAATAGACAAACTGTATGTTTATGAATTTACCGTCGAAATACATCTTATTCTACCCGTATACAATAGTTAGAAATCTATATGATTATTATATCTAAGGTTCACTCGACTAAATTTTTTTATTCTCCTTTCAATATTTTGACTTTTCCATATTATTAAAATGTTATGTCGAATTAAAACTTCAAGCTGTACTTAGAAGTGCAACGCAACCATTTATACGCAACGTGGCTTTATGTATGTAGTCTGTGCTTGCTAGACTCTTTGGTGCTGGTGCTATTATAATACATGCTCTGTGGGTGCTGTGCTATCCAAAGAGTTTAGTAAGTACTAAGTACTCGGAACAATAACTAAGTATCGTCAGTCGTCACGTCAAAACCAGTCACATAGCTATTTTATAGTGTATCATCTGTGACAACCAGTCAAAACATACCAGGCGTCTGATCAAAGAGTATAATAAGTATAGGGGAATAAGTATAGGGGGTCTGATTCTGATGTACGATTTCGCTCTATCATTTTCGTGTGTTTTATGTACGATCATTGAAAAACTTTTATAGTGTACAGTTGACTTAACAATAAAGGTTACTAGGTTATTACGTGCAATAATTATCTAAGACATAATGACTACTCCCACTCCTGCCCCCCACATAGACCGTGAGCTAGATTTGTCAAATACAGGCCGAGGAGTTTGGCTCGTTAAAGTTCCAAAATATATTGCTAATAAATGGGAAAAAGCACCTGGAAATATCGAAGTGGGCAAGTTGAAGATCTCACGAGCACCGGGACAGAGGGCTCAGGTGCAACTATCGTTGTCTGAAGGTGTACTTTGCCTGAAGGAACCTGGAGAACAAAACATACCTAAGGAACACCGTCTTGACGTGTCTAATGTTACAAGACAGTCTCTAGGAGTATTTTCTCATGCCACCCGTAAGTATATTATTGATACTGTATAGATCTGTTAATTATTTCTGTAAATTTATTGTTGAACATTAGAATTGTATGTATAATGTTGTTTTTCAGCCTCAAACACAGATGCTGTTATACCAGAGTCAGAAAAACTTTATATGGAAGGTAGAATCGTGCAGAAACTTGAATGTAGGCCATATGCTGACAACACATATTACAAGTTGAAGTCTGAGTCTATAAGAAAGGCATCAATGCCACAGCGACAAGTACAACAGCTGGACAGGATAGTACAGAACTTCAAGCCAGTTTCAGACCACAAGCATAATGTAAGCAAAATCATGGTATTTAATGTCTGACAAAGTTTTGGATAGACTTTCCATTACGAGCCAGTTGGAAGTTCCTATATTTATTTATAGATAGCACTCATAAGGCTTTTACAAATTTAGAAGTTGTGGTTCATTACATTTTTTGAAGTTTCCGTATAAATGGAAAAATAACATGCAATGTACAAAATATGTTAGGTGGTAGTTTTAAATGTCACAAAAGCGAACTTTAGCACCCTGACTCGAAGCATATTGGAGCTCGCATCTTGGACTTTGTGGTGTTTTTGTTTAAACAACCCAGGCCAGTAGTCATCCAATTACCATCTTGACAGGTGGTGCTTGTAAACATGATTTATGTTATCATGATTTAAAAAGTTATTGTGGGCTAAGCAATTAGTGATCATAGCTCACATGTAGGCCACATAAACATTTCAAAATCATTGTTTATATCCCTACTACATCTAGAAAGGAAGCCAGTTCAATAATAAATTGTCACCCATCCAGCCTAACCTCTGCTATCATAGCTTGGAGAGAAACTCATATTGTTGACATTATTTAGCAACAAGCTTAAATTATTGATCTTACTATTTCATCATCATCAACAGCCTATAAATGCCCACTGCTGAGCAAAGCCTCTTCTCACACGGAGAAGGTTAGAGCATTAATCACCACACTTGCTCAATGCGGGTTGGCAATTTCAAACTTATAATTAGAAATTATAAGTCCAGGTTTCCTCACGATGATTTTCCTTCACTGTTTGTCAGTGGTGTCTAAATAATCTTAGAAAGTACATATAACTCGGAAAAAGTCACATTGGTACTTGCCGTTGGTAGGTTTCGAACCCGCACCCTCATGCATGAGAAGTGGGCGTCTTAAACCTCCGGGCCAGCACGACTATCAATCTTACTATTTACAACTATTATAAATGTGAGAGTTTCTGAGTTTGTGTGTATCACTTAATTACATCAAAATGGCTGAAGGTATTGTTATGAACTTTCAAACAAGGGAAGATTATGGTTTGGAATAACACTTAGGTTACCCCATAAGATAGGATTGGTTTATCCCACAGGACCACTAGCGAAGCTGCTGAAAAAGCTAGTCAGTAATATATGAAACATTTTTTAAAGGAACCATTTATTTTGTCAGTATAAAAAGGACAAATGTGATATTCAGAATAATAAAATTATCTCTGTACTTATATAGACACCCACTATCTTTGTCATAACAAAGAGATTCCCACATACAATCATAAAATACTAAAATTTTGTCCTTATATGGTTATAGATTAAGTTTACGTTATCATTATTGTTATATCTTATCAGTATGAGCAAGGAGTGTTTGTTTGAGCTTGATCCTCAGTACTAATTAGCTTAAACTAGTACTCACTTGTCTCTGGACATTTTATTTTAATATAAATTATTGTATTCTATTTATTATGACTTCTCGTAAAAGACCTTATGTGTCTCCTACCTTCCTACCTTCTAAGGCAAATGTATGTTACATTTCTGACTTAATTTGTACCTATATTAAAATAACCATTTATTAAATTTAATCTAGCTATTTAACAAACTTTTGTTGACCATAGTCTTAATCGATATGGCTTTTTACAGATTGATTACATAAAGAAGAAGTCTGCTGAAGGAAAGAAAGCCCGGGATGACAAGGATGCAGTTCTCAACATGCTGTTTGCAGCATTTGAAAAACATCAGTATTACAACATTAAGGACTTGCAAAAGGTATGATAACTTGCAGTTAATTTTTGAATGTATTAAATATAAGTACAAATATATAAAAATATGGGAACATAGAGTTTATTTTTCTTTGCTTTATCAATTAGTCCTGTACTATCATGCTATTTTGTCATTGTATTATTATAATGCTATTTTTCTCCAATTTTAAACAGTGTTAGTCCATTATTTGTTCTCAGATCAATAAATCTTTCATGAGTTGATAATATCATCATAAAAATTCTTTATCTGTAGTGTTGTATACAATAATCTGCTTTATTATATTGGGATTGGTAATATTGTATAAAAAGTGTATATTGCATTTGCATTGCACACCTTCACATAACCATCTGATAACAATAATTACAAAACAAGTTATAACTTGCTCTTTTTTTGTTATCTAAAAAGATTAGCTTAAAAAACAAGTGACTAATAAAAAAATCAGTTTACAGATAATAACAATTTCTTTTTTCCATTTTCAGATCACAAGGCAACCTATTGTATATCTGAAAGAGATATTGAAGGAAGTATGTAATTACAACTTGAAAAATCCTCACAAGAACATGTGGGAATTGAAGCCTGAATACCGCCATTACAAGTCGGAGCAGGCCGCGGAAACGAAAGAGGAAAAGAATAGCTCTGACAGTGATTAGATTAGAGGTGGATTGAAGACACGTGTCTTATGGAGTCCCTCTGTAACCTGATGCCCTATATACTTGTCTAGCTAGCCTTAAGGATAATACAGCTCTGTATTAGATTAACTGTTGGTTGAATATGTACAAAATTGTTGAACCATTTATTTTTCTGTTGACAATCCATTTAATTTCTTTAAATAGTTATTATCTGCATGTTGAGATCCTTATAATGTAAATTAAATAATTGAAGCATCTGGTATAGTAAATTATTGCCTATATGTGTTGTGTATGTCAACCTTCTTGTCTTCCTATGTCTATTCCATATTTTTCTGTATTTCATTATGAATTGAAAATGGGTTAGATATTATTATATGATTAATTATTTATGGTTGAGTTTTATATTCTTAAACCAGACTTAGGCAATTTTTAGTATAATAAATGGCGAAACAATACCTGTAACTAATGCTATGTAAGAGAGTTGTACCTAGTTTTGTTATCTAGACACATTCACTGTTTGGGGTATGTTAGGACTAACGAATCAACTGTACAAAGCTTTCATGAGACTGTATATATTCTGATAGTTATAAGATTGATTAGAATAAATAATTTCGTAAAGAATCTGTGTTTCATACAAGTCCCAAATAAAACAATAACTCGCTTTGCTTCAAGTTTAATAACATTTAAAAATTGACGATGCTAATAATATTTGTAAAGAATACATCGATTTTAAATATAATATTCAAGTTTGTAAACATAAATTTTAATAAATATTTTAATTTAAGTAGGTATATAATGAATATTAAATATGAATAAAAATGCAAATTTGTCCAACATGGATAGCTTCAGTCGAGAGGAGATTAGAAAATTGAGAGTCGCATTATAGTAGTAGTATTAGTTGACCACGTCGTACTTGGATTTCTTGATGTAACTGGCAAGGAAACATGAGAGGAACGTTCCGATGAGCGGCAGCAGTGCGGTGCCGATGGCGACACCTACCACTAGGTCGATGTTGCTTTCCAAGTATTCCGAGATCACCGCGTAACAACCCTGACACACAAAGTACAGAACATTAGATAGATAGTCAAGCATACAGTGTTTACTGTACGTACGTACGTAAGTACCAATAGTACATACCGTACCTACATAAGTAGTGCGTACCTACGTAAGGCAGATACAGTTAAAAATTTGCATTGATTATTCCGTTATTATAATTCATAAAATATTTGAAATTGTCAAAAGTTAACGAATGCAACAGCATGATTTTCCTGTTCGTGGGAAAAGGTCTTTGGCCCGGCAGTGAGACAGTTATTGGCCCGTCGCGGTATGGTAAATGGTAAGACGCTAAAAGTTATAAAAGGTTTTCAAATCTCAGAGGCATAATCGTGACGTTATTGTGAGGACTCACGTCCGAGCCGATCGATGCAATATTATGGTAATTAGCATCTATAAACAGTGGTGATAAAAATAAAAGAAACTGCTAAATGTCCTTAGACATAGGTCATAGCAAACCTAGGCAGGTAGGTAGTCCAATCAGTCACCAGTGCTCAGGTGATGAGCACTTAACAATTTTCAAACATGCAAAAGTAGAAATCTACTTATATAGAATACGTAGGTAGTTACGTACCTAGTTTTTTTTTAAGGGGGGAAAATCGTCGAAAAGCTCCCGCCTGGGTGAGGCGGAAGGGAGTGTCAGGCTCTTACTGACTAAAAACCACCCCGTTCCTTCTCCTGCACGTTAAGCCGGAGCCCCGGTTACCCGTTAGGTTCTCCGCGACTACGTACCTAGTTAGGAAGCTGTGTTTGGAACTTATCTTTTCATTATTAGTTTAGGTAAGTATAGTACCCACCCACCTACCGTAGTGCACTAAGATGTCAGTGACCAACCATGTGAAAGAACTTACTCGTTGGAAGACGTCACTGTAATTAGCCGTGATGCAGATGTCCGGGTTGAGGCAGCAAGAGATAGGGATCACTTTCTGTGGTGACAGCCTTATCCAGTCAGTGTAGTTAGATACGCCACAGCACCGCAACTGTAACACACGCACGGACTTGTTAATTCACTGACGACAAGAGAGAGGTAATTAACTAAGGATAAGAGGACGTTAACAGTGCTTTGTTAACTTGTTACCTAAGCGTATAACTAGGTAAGTAGTAACCTAATTATTATTACATTATTAGTAGGTACCTACCTAGCTCCAGGTTATAACCTGATTAAGTACCTACCTATGTAGTCACCAGTTATACATAGGTACTTTGACGAACACTAATGGGATAGGATAGTTTAGAACTGGAGGAGAAAAGTTGAAACTTATCATCAAACACCTATGATCTGTAAAGTATCTACCTACTCACATTTTTTTGTGCGAAATCAAAGTTGGCCTTGTGGGGATAGGTATTGGTGATAGTCTGGGTGAGACCGTCATGTAGACTTTTGGCGAAGGTGTCCCGATAACATGCTGCGGCTGCCCCAACTCCCGCGTCCATAATAAAGATACAAGCCAAGAATCCACCGTACTGTAAAAAGTGAATATATGTTTTTCTAAACACTTGTGTGAGGAATAAAATAAAAGAAAGAAAGTTTATAATGTGAATGAGATAATTTGATGATGAAAATGGGGACAGTGCACAACAAGTAGGTAACTTAGAACAAGGGCTGGATCGATAAACCCTCACATAAGAATGAATTAGTGTTCTGTAAGTTGAGCATAAAAGGAGGTAGATAACTTGCTACACTTACGATGTACAGCAACACAGGCTGGCCCTTGATGATGCAGGAGAAAGCTATAGAGCTGACGAGGACGATGAGACAAGCGATACCAATGAGTACGTGCGGGGCAGTCCCGGAGAACTCAGGAGATAGCTCCATATACTTGTGAAGGTCAAACTCGGCCCATAGTCCCACCAGCAACAGTAGCAGCCCTGTGAACTGAGACGCATGTTTTTACAACCAACACTAAACCAATTAAATATTTGATGCACGTTCTGATTTCACTTTGGATTTCTATCGAAGAAGGTACTTACGAACATACAAACAATTCTTGAGCTTTTAAAATTTCTAATTTTGAAGATCTCGTCGTCGAGGATATCGTAAGAACGGGTGCAACGATTGGCAAATCAATTTTTGGTTGAGAAACCCTATAAGTACAAGGATAGTCACACATACATATAAATAAATAATAATAATAAGTTGGTACCTAATATGTACTTAGTACTATCTACCTAGAACCATATGGAAATAGTAGAGTAGTTTAGAGCTACTTAGCCTGGAATTGGATCAATTAATCAAAATTTAAGTTACGCTGGTACCTAGTTAAACTTATTCCTTTACTATTGGGATCCTCTACAAACGAAATTAACGAGAACCAGATGATAACAGCTGGATGTTTAAGAAATCTTATCTCAAAAGTTATGAACTCACAAGAAGGCATTTGGCAATATAGGTACCTACTTATAGCTTGACACGTTAAATATACCTATCCATTTAATTTACTTCATAAAATATTTTTTTGTATTTAACAGGTAATCGTTAACAAAACAAAAGAATTACGAAATAAATTATTTAAAACTTACCCAAAATACGACGTTGAAAACAAAAAGAAACGTTTTTAAACAGGCTATCACCGCCACGTTTTTGAACTGGTTGCCCATTTTTTTAAATATATTTAAGCATTTAATTCAGAGTCGCGTTACTGTTTGTTTATCCATATGTTTGTGCTAGGCGTCTTGGGAAGCAATGAATGTCACAGGGGCCGAAGCTTTTACGCATGCGCAAAATAATCGGCGTCTTCAGCCTGGGCCTTTTAGAAAAGACCTATACTTAGTAGCTAGATACGTTTTTGTTTCATATGGGAACTAAGCTTACGATGTTTGAATCCTATCACTTTATACAATTATGTTAAAATGCATACAGTAACTTAATAGCTAGCTACTTTATCAAGTGAGTAGGTGTATTTGTTAGCAGTACCATGTTGATTGAACTTGATTGGTATCATGTTCATGAGTTTGGGAGAGCCATGCTTCGGCATGAATGGGCCGGCTCGACCGGAGTGATACCACGGCCTCACAGAAGACCGACGTGAAACAACGTTGTGTTGTGTTTCGTCGTGTGAGTGAGGTTACCGGAGGCCCAATTATCCCCCCTCCCTTTCACCAATCCCTGAATCCCCAACAATCCTCAAATTCCTAATCTCAAAAGGCCGGTAACGCACTTGTAACGCCTCTAGTGTTACAGGTGTCCATGGGTGACGCCGATTGCTTACCATCAGGCGATCCGTCTGGTCGTATACCGGCTTATACCATAAAAAAAATGAGATGAGACTACTAGGTACAAACAGAGAATGCACTGAAAACAGATTACCTAAGTATAGATTTAATACTAACTATAAAATTCCCATGAAATTCGAACTCCTACGGTCACAGAAAACATTTAGAGATGGCATTGACATTTTAAATTAGGTACCGCAGCTTCAATAGAGCTTTCACTTTCTTGTAGCGTCCGTAAATTTCTCAGAATCAGTGCACAAGTCCAGTTTATTTTTCAGTCTATATCATACAGGCTGCTTTGAACTTCAAATCCTTTCAAGCACGGAGGTCGCGAGTAACTGTGCCCATCCAAAAGCGTAGCTTGTCTCGGCGTTATTATTGGTTAGTCGCTCGGTGGCCACTGCAGCGCAAACGCATGTACGTTCTTAGCGCCGGCGCCCGCGCATCCGCGAAAGCATTCACGTAAACGCGTATATTTTTTACCGCTTCATATTTTTCTTTAATGTGTCGCTACAAATTTTTAATCAGGACATGATGGTTTCCCGAACGTATTTATTTTTGATTGGAATAATTTTTCGAATTAATTTTGTGTGCCCTATCGCTGAAATTGATGAAAACGAAGGTGAGATGTTATGTATTCCGTTATGTATTCTGTACTTATAAATTAATGAGTATTATAATTGACCCACTTGTGTGTCTAAACGGGGATACACGCGAGACACAATGTATTTTGTACAACTGTTTGTGTTATACGGCAATTTAAGCGGTTAAATAACAATTCAACTTTATATGTAAGATGAAAAAAGTACCAATATTAAATACGAAACCTCATAAAATCTTTCAAAAAAAAATCAGAATGCAACGCGTTCTAGATTCAAAGTTATTTAATTTTGATATAACAAAATCAATTATCAAAACGCATCGTTGCAAATTGGATACCAATATATGTAAATAGAAATCTTATTTATTTATTTTTATATCACTATGACTACATAGTATAAAACAAAGTCGCTATTTACCGTCTGTCTGTCCCCATGTATGCTTAGATCTTCAAAACTACGCAACGGATTTTGATGCGGTTTTTTAATAGAAAGTAAAAAGGCTTAAGGCTAGTTTATATGTATAATACATGCATATTGCACCGGTGCGAAGTGGGGGCGGGTCGCTAGTACATTATAAATTAATACCTGCACTGGTATTTTCTTTGGTTACCTTTAGATAAAATAAGATGTGATCACTAATTTACACTCAGCTGTAACAACAATAAAATTATATTCATTGGAACACAAAAATAATATTCTATCTATGTGGGAACCGAATTTGCGACACGTTGCGTAACAGCAGCCAGTACCTATTCATTACTGGAGCAGATTTAAAGATTTAATACTAACACCCCTTTTGAACAACCTCGCTTAAAATTTTAAGGAACTCCTATGATTGATAAAATTTTACGACATTTCATTTTCGATAGAACGAGGTTCTGGTTAGTTTATGTGCACTTACTTAAGTAACTCTTAGTTATGAGAGGGTTTAGAGATGGTTGGTAAAAACGTACATAAAATTAATTTACGTAGGATGCATTATATTGATTGCCAGATTATTAACGACACAAAATACGTTACAATTAGATTTCACACGAATGTGCGTGTTGTCCATGCGCTGTATGCTCTGGATAGCAGCCCGATACCAATGAACCAATTTGGATAAGAATTCGATCACAAATCTCATACAATACATTGAGGTTTTTTCCTGACAATATTTGTTCTGTGCGGGAGTTGAACTCTTGACACACTGCGTACTAGACTATCAGACTGGTAGCCCATCTACTGCGCCAATCGTGAAGTCAAATGTTTATATTTTTTATTTTTCCATCCAACTTCCTAATGGTCTTGCTCGAAATTGAATCTAGAAATGACGGTAGTTGAGCTGACATACCTAGATATAGGGATGTCGATCCGAAGAATCACCATATTTGCTAGTACTGTAAGTCATACGCAGTTTTAGTCCTTGTCAACCATAATATTATATGAACTCTAGCAATAAAAAATATTTACGGTATTAAAAATTATGTAGACGTACTCCGAAGCTCGAGGATAACCTGTGTTATTTCGCCTTCTTTGAATTACGCCCCTCCCTAGTCTCCCGAATCCCCGTATCCTCCACAATGCACAAATTCCCAATTCCCAAAAGGCGGTAACGCACTTGTAACGCCTTGGTGTTTCGGGTGTCCATGGGCGGCGCCGATTGCTTACCATAAGGTGATCGTTTACCGGCTTATGCACTAAAAAAAATGCCCAAAGGGTGTATTGTTTACTGGTTCTATTATCTAGAGGTAGTACATGATCATAAAAATACACCAAACGGTTTAAAAGTACATTCTTAAGGAAAACGCTCCGTTTTCTAGTTCACAACGGAGAACAATATTGTTCAAAAAATTTAATTTGCGTGTCCGGCACAACCTACTTTTAATTTGCATTCTCATTTTATCACACTCCATTCAGGCAATTTGAATAGAAATATACCAAGTACCGTACATACTGCGGTGTAATGTATTAAAAACACTAAGTAGGTACGATACGATGTTCTGATTGGCTAGCATTTTTGTATAGAAACACTAAACTAGGTCTACCAGTTTGTTGTTAGTCTCTTTATTGTCATTAAAAATAACAACTTTTTGTATTGCTCATTAAAATCTTATAAGCACTCAGTTCGACACTATGGATGCCTTAATTATACCCATAGTCGACATTTAGACAATTTCCTGTAATGTTCAATTAAACTAAAATAAATATTCATTATGTAAAATTTTGATACTGATATACCTATGACACATTTGGAATAATTTCAATTTAACAAATTAACTACAACTTTTGGCGAGACTATAAACTGAAACCTCGCAATCGGTATTCGTGGACTAAGTAACGACCGTACTCTGGTACTCTAGATAGATTCTATAAATTGAGGCAGTCAATGTGACAAAAATAACTTTTCTACCTAAATAACAGCACAATTTAATTTGTTTTAAGAATTTAGGAATAAGATTATGTGATTAACCGGATCTCACACTAAGATTTATGATACCACAATTTCTAATTAGATTATCTACATGGTTTGTTGATTGTGATACTCGCTGTCAAATATTTATTAAAAGAAAGAACTTATTATTTTAAATAAAATAAAAAACTAAAAATAATGGATATAAAAAAAACCCATCAGATGCTAAAAAATAATAGGGTTTACGAAGCCATTTTTAAAATAACATTCAGTTTTGTCTTATTTGGTACCGCTAGCTGGGAAAATTAGCATCTCATTGAAATACACCACAAGACCAGTCGCGTTAATAAAATAAAAAAGTTGAATAATGGCGGAGCTCCTTGTCGACTTATGAGACTATTATACCATTTGTCGCACGCGCAAGTTTACGCAACATTGCAGCACAGCATGCATTGCTCTTGCTCTGATACAGCTACAACGATCCTCACTTACCGCAAACTATCGACGTTTCACACTTTTCCCACATTATTGCTGCAATAACCTTAACGGCACTCATGTAATTCACGTCAGCCGCGAAGATGAACGTGTGATAACCCTCCGTCGATATTCTTTGTGAAGCTAACGAACGAGACTGCATAACTATAGGCTATACTAACCACGGCTAGAACGTAAAGGGTTTGTGGTAACGGTATGGTGACATCCTACATAATTACCATGTAACCGTATCCAAGTGTGCTGGCGCTGGGACATATTCAAACCTGGCAGGAAACGTTCGTCTAATGTTATCTATGTCACAGATCGCAGCCGCGCCGGGAAGGCGGCCCATCTGCACAGCTTATCTCACCATCTCCGAGATTGCTTCGGCCAAATTAACTGCACTACAGAACAATTGGTATCGCCACTATATTCTAGTACACGTCTATTTCTGATTACGCCTCTGTAATCGGCAATCTACGTCTACATTATTTCTATTGTTTACATGACATGGACCAATTCGATTGATAAGTATAGGTAGTTACCAAAATCTCCGGCGATGGTATCTAGGCCGTGGACAATGACAGATGGCTCGTAACGAATTGTATTCTTCTATTTTCTGATTGTTAAGCAGGTACGATATGGAAAAGAAAGATGCCAATAGAGCTAGCACGGCTAAGCGATACGCCGCACCGAAACGTTTAGGTCCGTATTAGATTGATGTTTGAGCATGAATTTCAATTTAAAACCTTACCTAGATTTGAAGTAGTACCTATAGTGTCAGTATAAAATCTGTTAGTTTTACCTAAATCGGGATTCATGGTTGAATATTATAATACAATGGGCTTTTGACGACTATAATAAAATGCTTTACGATAACAAGAGACAATCGCCGTAGGCTGACCGCGTTCAGCCAAATCACAGATACCGTCAGGTCGGGCCCAGCTAATGCTCGTTTCTGGCTAACTTGCATTATGATGGATTACCCGTGGCCGGTGCAAACTACGGCAAAAACAATGCACCAACTGCATACTGTACAAACGAGGTAACCTACTGTTTTTGGATGTTACATAGGTTCTGCTCCTTTTGCATTATATGACGTAGGCAGTTGATATACATAATTTTTTAATTAGGTATGTTAAAGAATTTACTTGGCGCCGTATATACCAAACTTTTTAATGGGTTTTACGACATAATTATCAACTTCTCTTTATTGTTGACTAATACTGATATTTCTATCAATCTTCGTTCTGCATACATTACCTACATTTACATCAAAACGATAGTTCTGGCCGTACGTACTCCTACGTATTACTGTTTATTTCGTGTTCTAATAAAAGTTTACCGGTACGATATGGCGTTGCCACAACGGCCACAAACCATTTATTTGATACATTCAATCGCAGAAACACCGAAGATGTTCATCTCAAATTTTGCTACAGCAATTTTTGCCGGTCAATCAATTTTAGCGTGTCGATATGGTATGGTAACGCTACACGTGATTGTATTGGGTGAGCAGATGCGGTTCCATAGTGTGCATGTCATTACATCGGCCGAACATTTCGCGGTCGGCATTAGCATGCAATAACGGTAGCAAGTGACTCGCGAACTCGCAGTGACAACCCCGACCTGCCCGGTGTGATTTTATTCTTATAACTTCACCGCCACACTCAAGCAAGACCTCAGTCCAAACATTGTTCCACCTCTACAAGTATGATATATGTATGAGTAAAATGTCGCGATTCACGATTGTTTTGCTCTTGTTTTGTGACAGTGACCCGCTAAAGGGGCCAAGTGTGAAACTGCTTTCACTGGACGTGTTTGACAGCACGTCACGCTAATTAGCTGATAATTTCATTTTAGATCTGTTGATAACATCTGTCGTAATATTAAAATGAGTAGTGCCGGTTCCTCGAACGTGCTAAGTCATTCATTGGTTTACTATCCAGTTAACATGAATGTACTAACATGGCTACTTATCATAATATGTTTTTGATTTCTCGCGTGAACTAAATGTCGCGAAACTCGGTCATATATATCATTGTGTGTATCGGACAGGTGCTAGGTGCAAAAATAATTTGAAACAATAGATAGATAACTAAAATAGATTGATAACATAGTGCAGTAAAAAAATAAAAACTGGGCATTTTGTAA